GTTCAACTTCTGAACAAGATGATTAATAAAGAGATGGTTGCCGCAAATGCTAACTCTAATCTCTTGCTTGCAATTAGGACTTAGTTCATGAAAGATTGGATTGTAAAGGAACAACATACGTACCGGGAATGTAATAGAGGTGTCGACTACCTAGCGAACTTGATTTATGACGGACCTATGGGAGGCATTCTTTACTGCATCCCCCTTTTGTGCTTCTGAGCATTCTTCGTGAGGACATATTTGACGTTTTCTGGCCCAAACTGTATAACACCCATGTCTGATTGTTTTCTTTAGTTGTCTTGGTTTGCTTCCTTTTGTATTAAAAAAATTAATAATAAATTAGATAATTAATGATAAAATATAAAAAAAAATAACAAAAAACACATTGAAGGAAGATTTGATTGAGGCCCATAAAATATAAAGCATTAATGACGGACTAACTAACCTAGTTACTAGATCAATGATTTATTGGCTAATATTCTTCATTTTCTATAAGCTAAAAAATTAATTTAACCTTTTATTATGTATAGTATAAAAAGGGATTACCAACTCTTCTACAGAAAAATTTGGTCACATCATTGTACATTTGTTCTCTATTCAGTCAACTTTTTGATTTTCACTAATTTCTTTAAAGTAGCACAACAAGATAATTGGTCATTGGGGTTTAACTCACATTTTACTCGTATTTTTACAAATATTATAATTTATCTATCAAAATATTAAGTTCATATGTTACTCATATTTTATTGAAAATAACAGTTTGTCTATTAAGATAAGATGTTAAACTCACATATCACTCGAATTTTATTAAATGCTATAAGTGTTTATCAATGTGTCAAGGTCTCCTATCACTCATGTTAGACTAAACACTACAGCTTGTCTGTCAAAATGTCAAACTTCCATCTTTATTATGTCTCTCCACGTAATGTTTACAAAGAAAAAAAATGTGAACGAAGAAACTACAGTTTTGATCCCTCAAAAAGAGATTTGTACCTGAAAATTTTAAATTACTACTGTGCCCCTAAACTTAATTTAAATCACCATAATACCCTAAATAATTCCTTTTTACATTATAAAAATTAATACATTTAAGTAATAAATATTGCTTCCAAGTTTCGTCGAAGAAGGAAGGTCGGCGGTGGAGCAGGAGCCTCTTCGTCAATGGCGTCGACATTGACGAATAAAGAGTTGAAGTTACTTGATCTCTCCATTTATCTCCGCATAGAAAGCTGAAGAAACTTCTTCCTCACCTTTAGAATCGAATCGGAGTTGCAGGTACTTCCTGATACAACCACGATCAGGTTAAGATCCAAAATCATCTTTTTCCTCGAATCTCGACTCCAGTTACGCTTTAACCATTTGCCAGATTAAGTTGTTGGAGAGTTAATTTTGCCAACGCGAGTGAAGATATCGGACCAGTCTTTAGTGATTTTGAGAGAATGGATTTATGCAGTTGAGTTATCGGTGATAGAGCGAAGAAGAGAAAGAGAGAGACGAGAGGGGTGGGATGTGAAGGAACAAGCAACAAGTGCGTGTTATTTTCTGTCATTTCAAATAATTTCTCTCGTTTTCCTTAATCAATTCAATTTCCTGATCTACCTGGTGCGTCAATCATTTTCTTTTTCCATTTTTGTGCGTATATATATATATACACACACACATATACTTATTACATGTAAGCACAACTTTTATGCCTACATGCTCAGTAGTATATTTTCAATTAGAAGAAGGCCTCTAAATATTGACTCCTACTGCATAAGACCCTCGTCTTAATCTGCTATGTTTGGACATACACATAACAATATTCTTATGGGTTCAGCCCAGCCCATGACAAGCCACAACAAGCTTTGAAATTTTCTGTTTGGCAATTTCCAATTGGTAATTCTGAGAGGGGTTAGGAGGCAGACAAATACCAGTGGGAGAAACTGGTAAAAGACAAAAAAAAAAGTACTGTTGGTCAAAAACTAATATTACCACAGTGAAAAGGTAATTGAAAAATCTGAGAACCACCAAGAACCAAATCTTTTTTATTTTTTTTTTTATTTTTTAGAAAAAGAAAGTAAAAATTCATATCATTTGCTTCATGATCACAAACTACCATCATGCAACAACTGAAAAAGTTAGACAACATGGGAGTGCATTCACTTGGCTGCCATCATTGCCCATTTTGTATTTTATACATACATTTCAATTTAATTACTTTTACTAATTAAGGGCTTATAATTGTAATTACAATATGTTATTGTATATATCATCTATATATATATATATATTAAAAAAAAAAAAATAACACCCAAGAATGTAATTACATTTTTTTTTGAAATAATAAACAAAAATAATATATTATTATTAATTATAAATATATATTATAGATAAAATAAAATTTTAAATATTATTCACTCAATTTTAAAATATAAATATAAAATTAACCTAATAATTATAACTATATATATTATACAGAGGCAAAATTTTAAACATTATCAATTCAAATTTTAAAATTAATAATCATTTACTTGAATTGTAAAATGTAAAAATAAGATTTGATTTTTAATTGATTACAAATCATACACTATAATTTTTAAATATAAAATAATTTTGATAGTATATATAATAGTTATCTATTTAAAAGTTCCTAACATAAAAATAAGATTTGGTTTTTATAAGCTA